AAAAAAAAAAAAAAAAAAAAAAAAAAAAAAAAAAAAATCAATGAAGCATTGTCTTCCAGTACTTACTGATGGGTGGAAGAATGTATGGGAAGAAGGAATCAAACTTTGTGATAACACCTCAATCAGTTTTTTACAAAAGCATTGAAACAGGAGAAAACAGACATACTGCAGGGTATATCATAGAATCGTAGAAAATTACGGTTGGCAGGGATCTCAGGAGGTCATCTAGTTCAATCCTCTGCTCCAAACAGGACCATCCACAACTAGATCATCCTAGCCAAAGCTTTGTCTATCTGGGTCTTAAAAACCACCAAGGATGGAGATTCCAAGTACTGGTAACCTGCTCCAATACTTTACTACCCTCCCAGTGAGAAAGTTTTTTCCTAATATCTAACCTAAACTTCCCTTGCTGCAACTTGAGACCTCTGCTCCTTGTTCTGTCATCTGCCACCACTGAGAACAGTTTAGCTTCATCCTCTTTCAAACCACCTTTCAGGGAGTTGAAGGCTGCTATTAAATCCCCTGTCAGTCTTCTCTTCTCTAGACTAAGTAAATCCAGTTCCCTCAGCCTCTCCTCGGAAGTCATGGGCCCCAGCCCCCAAACCATTTTTGCTGCCCTCCTCTGGACTCTCTCCAATTCATCCACATCCTTTCTGTAGTGGGGGACCCAAAACTGGACACAGTACTCCAGATGTGGTATCACCAGTGTTGAATAGAGGGAAATAATCACTTCCCTTGACCTGCTGGCAACACACCAACCAATGCAGCCCAGTATGCAGTTAGCCTTCTTGGCAACAAGGGCACATGCTGGCTCACATTCAGCTTATTGTTCACTGTAACCCCCCAGGTCCTTTTCTGCAGAGCTGCTGCCCAGCCAGTCAGCCCCCAGCCTGTACTGGTGCATGGGATTGTTCCACCCTAAGCGCAGCACTTTGCACTTGTCCTTGCTGAACCTCATGAGATTTCTTTTGGTCCAATCCTCCAATTTTTCTAGATCACTCTGAATCCTAGCCCTACCCTCCAGTAAATCTACTACTCCCCCCACCTTCATGTCATCTGCAAACTTGCTGAGGGTGCACTCTATGCCATCTTCCAGGTCACTGATGAAGACATCAAACAAAACTGGCCCCAGGACTGACCCCTGGGGCACTTCACTTGACACCGGCTGCCAGCTATACACCGAGCCATTGATTACTACTCTCTGAGCCTGATGCTCCAGTCAGTTTTCTATCCACTTTACAGTCCATTCATCTAGCCCATACTTCCTTAATGTGCCTGTGAGAATGCTGTGGGAGTCAGTATCAAAAGCCTTCCTAAAAATCAAGGTATACTACATCCACTGGTTTCCCGCGTTTATGGAGCCAGTCATCTCATCATCACAGCAGGCAATCAGGTTGGTTAGGCATGGCTTGCCTTTGCTGAATCCATGCTGACTGTTCCTAATCACCTTCTTCTCTTCTAAGTGCTTAGAAATAGATTCCTTGAGGATCTGCTCCATGATTTTTCCACGGACTGAGGGGAGGCTGACTGATCTGTAGTTCCCTGGCTCTTCCTTTTTCCTTTCTTAAATATGGACACTATGCTTGCCCTTTTCCAATTATCTGGGACCTCTCTTGATCACCATGAGTTTTCAAAGATGATGGCCAATGGCTCTGCAGTCTCATCAGCCAACTCCCTCAGCACACTTGGGTGCATCCCATCTGGCCCCATGGACTTGTATATTTCCAGCTTTTCTAAATAGTCCCTAACCTGTTCTTTCACCACTGTAAAATATCAGTAATAAAATATGTCAAGTCCTACAGAAGACTGGGAGTGGTAAAGTATTTGCTTTGTTGACTGACAACACAAGTAATATGAAAGCAGCATGGGAGATCATAAAAGATAAATATCCACATATTACTGCAAGAGAATGTGCTTCTGATGGCCTAAACTTGCTTCTTAATGATTTAATGAAGTTGGACACACTGCAAAATATCTATTATAGAGCAAAAGAAGTTATCAAATATGTAAAATCTACTCATATTTTAGCTGCAATCTTTAGGAAAAAGCAGGAAGAAAAGTATGGGAAGAATAAAATAGTGACAACTCAAACTTTGTAGTAAAACTAGATAGGGTGAAGTGGTGATCTCATTTGAAAGTTTACTAAAGAACAAAGAAGCTCTTCAAGAAACAGCAATAACAAAAGATCTTACAGTAGCCCAAAGCATAAGGAATACTGTACTTGATGAGGATGTCTTCTGGGTCCAGCTGCAAAACTCCCTGAAGATTACAAAGCCAATTTCTTCAGCAATCACTGCATCTGAATCGGACAGTGCACTTTTCTCAGACATGATTTATCTAAGGGCCCAGATAAAAATCAGCTGTGTTTGACAAAGTAGGTATATCTCCACTTACAATTACGGAAGAGGAAAAAAAGTGAAAGACTTCACTAACAGGCAGGAAGAATTGTGTTGCTAGCCAATTCATGCTGCTGCAAATCTTTTGGATCCAAGATTCAAGGGTAAAAATGTCAGTGATGATAGGATTGTTACTGCATTCAACTGGGTTACGAAACAAGCAACCCATTTAGGACTTGATGTTGGCAAGGTACTTTAAAATGTTGTAGAATATAGAACATGGTCAGGTATTTGGTCCAGGAGCACGATCTGGGACTCTGCCAAGTATGTTCCTCCTGCAACATGGTGGCAAGGCCTTTGTTACAGTTTTTTACTCCACTTGCTTCTCACCTGCTTCAGATTCCTCCATCTTCTGTAGCATGTGAAAGAAACTGGTCTACATTTGGAAATATACACACCAAATTAAGAAATAAACTAACCTGTGAAAGAATAGAGAAGCTTGTTTCAATCCATTCAAAACTTCAGTATTCTGAAGTCCATGAAGATAAAAATGAAGGTTCAGATTCAGAATCAGAAAATATTGATAGTTCAGAAACTGAGCCTGACTCTGATTAGACAAAGAAACTTGCGATGCTAATACTTTCAAGGATATATTTGATTGTTTTAAATGACATATTGGTTTCATGTAGCAAATTTTGTCTCCAGCTTTAGAACAATTTTTTTCTGAGCTTTTTTTTTTAAAAATGAGTTTCTTCTATTTCTGGAGAGTACTGTCTATATGGTGTAGACTTTCTAAGTCCAGATAATATAAATTTCCTTTTGTTTACTAAACTGTTGATGGTTTCTATTTTCAACTTTTATTTTTTTCCTAGTTCTCATTGGCTGACAAAAACTAAGATATGCTTAAGTACCTTAGGGTGCAGCAGCTTGTAGCTCCATCTATAACAATAATTACAAATAATTATTTTAAATGCCTTAGTTTTATTCAAATAATAATAAGGCATCTATACTTTTAAATTTCATAAATATACCAAGCATTACAATTTTATGTGCTAATTAAGTTATATATAATATATTCTATGTTCTTAAAGTAGTAAAATACATGTAGATAGATAAGAAAATAAATATGGCATATTTCAATTTTTCCCAAAATTTCTGCTTTTTTCCATAAAAAACAGGAAAGAGCACATTTTTTCCCCCATGGCTTCAGAACGTCCACAAATTTTACATCTCTATTGTCTGTATACAAGAATATAAAGTAAAGGTCAATCAAACCGACCTAGTAGTATCTAGGACAGGTATTAACCAACTGGCTTTGGAGGGAAGACTGTTTCAGTACAAGTCTTTGAAGGAGGGAATCAGGAAGGTAAAAATTAGGATTTTTAAAATCACCCACAAACAGGAAGAAGTTTTCCAAACAACCCTGAGAATTTATAGTTTGAGAAGAGTATGAAAAAGCCAAAGTTACATGAAGTGATTGCCAATCAAAGGTGCCTGACTGATTATATCAATGTTCTCTATTCACTCACAGAGCAAACGTTCTTGGCTATTTACTCATTCATAGGAACAGCACAAATAGCAGCAGTCCACTACACAACAAGGCACATTTCTGGAGGAGACGGAAAGGTATTCTAATCTCCTGACCTAATCAGTCACTCCATCCTACTTGTTCCACTAACAAGATTGCCAGTTGTGATGTGGAGACTTGTCCACTTGCGGCCAGAAAGAGATCAACAACTCATTTAACAGAAGGCTTTGAGCAATTGACAGCATTAAGTTACAGTGACTAATAACCCTAAACCATATTCAAAACCAGCAAAATACAGGCTGAAAGCTTTACAGGCCAATGCAACTTTCTGAACCTCGGCTGCGAGGCCTGCATTCACTCCTTGGCTGTAAGATCCAATTTGACAGATGACCCTTCATCAAAACATAGACCAGTTTTCCCCTCCTAATACTGTCTTAGTTCTACAGGCAAAATTTCTCCCTCTGTTGTTAAATCAAGGTTAAAACAAGCTCAGCAGCAGAGTGAACGAACAGGATCAAAAAAGTATAAAAATGTGGTCTCACTGACTTTAAAATGCCCTTCCCAAAGTAATAATGAAATCAGCTGGTTGTATTCAAATTCCAATAACATACTGTTCACCTGCACAGGATTTCATAAGTCTCCAAGAGATTACATGCTCGAGGGAATTTAAGCTCCTGTAAGAAAACAAGACAAGACATTGCTGATGTGTTATGGGTTTAAAAGGAAGGAGTAGGAAAAAAAAAAAGAGAATGCCAAACAATGTACTAAACACTGTGCAGGTTTCTTGCCCACATCACAGCTCCACCAGCCCTTCTCAATGGGCAAACTACCAATACCACAAAGCAGGTTGTTGGACACCACGTAATGTCTTGGGAAGAAGCAATGTCCAGGCAGAGTACTTTATAATGCAAACTGAGCTATGGTGCCATGAAAGCTAGCAGCAGGAATGTCAGGAACTAGGTGCCAGAGTTCTAGTTCCATATACAAGGCCAGTTTCAAAATGTTACAACAAAGAGAACTTTTGAAAACAAAGTATTCATTGATTCTACCATTTCTCCAACCCCGGTAAATTGCAGAACCACATTCCACCCATGGAATACAAATACAGTCTATTCCAGGAGGGTCATCAAATGACATGCTGTATTCAATGATCCTAGAGATTGTTCTCCAAGACTCAACTCCTACTGACCTACAGAACAACAATCACGATGAATGAAACCCTAACTCCAAGCACTGACACTCCACATAAATTGGCCATCCAACATGTTGTAAAAACATATGTTTCCTTATGAGCAAGTGGAGCCAACACTCTTATAAGGCTCTTGAGAATCTCAGGATAGACATACAAGCCCACTCTTACAGAAACACTAAAAACACCACCTCTCTCCAAGCACACCCTAGTTAGTAGCTGCTGATGAGAAAAAGAGCCCGATGGTCTGCCCTTTCAGCAGAAGAGATACCACAGACCAAGGGGGAAAAGGATTTTAAATGTGATACTGAAGGAACAGGATAATTTCCAGAGTGCTTCCTTGATGGTAGGAAGATGCTTTAGTTCAACATATAAAATTGAAGTATGTCAAGATCTCCTTCCTATCCAGGTACAAGAGGAGTGCTATTTCCCAAAACAGGCTCATTTTACCTTCCAGATGGATTTTGTGACATTCTTTGTGTCTATTATAACAGGAAACAGGCTGTGAATATTAGTCTTGAACTCTTCATAGCTTTCTGAAGGAAAGAAAACAAGAAAGGAACAAACATATAGAAGAAAAGATGCTGTAGAAGAGGAAAAGAAAACCTGGTGTTTTATGAAAGCAGTGTCTTATAAAGCAGTTTTAAGTATCTTTCTGCTCCCTATTTCATTATGTCACCAAAAAACTAGAAGCTCTACAGGAAAAGCAGTCCCTGCCCTAGAAGTGGAAGATCAGAGTCAGCTAACCAGCTTCTCCCCACTCATTCTTATGCACAGTGAATCATAATCACTGAATCTTGTCCTGGATCTCTCTTCAACTGAGGAAAAAGTGTTTTTGGAGAGGGCTGGGCAATCTTGTCATTGCTACTGCATAGGACATTACCTGGAAGGGGCCTGTAGAACTTATCATGAAGATGTAGAAGGTCCATCAGCATGTTATGTCCCACCAGTGGCTAGGGGAGAGAAGTATAAAACCCAACAGCATATCAGCATGAAGACCTGCCCAACAGCCACATAACAAGGTTTTTATTCCAAAGAATAAAATCCATGCAAGCCCATTCAAAAGTTGGACCACTTAGCACAGTGTCACAGAAAGGTCACAGTAAGGTCAATGCCATCAGTGAGTTAAGACCTCTAAATGTTGGGGTAAGGAGGACATTAACAGTAGCATTTTGTTAGAAAGTGATCTGAGAAACTTGAAGGAAGACGACCAGGCCTTTAAAAATCTCTGTTTCACTGGCTCAAAGATTTGTTTTGGGTTTTTTTAGTTTTCAGTTGCAACTCTATTCTAGCATCTGTGAGCCCCAGAAGGGCCTTTCTGACCTACATATCAACAGTTATAAAGTGTCTTACATGGGAACTCAGTCAACAGTTCTGTTAGAAAGATGTAAACTGCTATCCTATATCAGGCCAGTGGTCCACATAGTCCTAAACCTTGACAGAGACCAAGAGCAGATGGCCTGCAACATCCTCTAAGCGGACTGCTAGACAAACCACGATAACCTGTGCAAAAGGAAAGTACCTGCTTAACTCTTTTGCTTGTTAGCTTATGCCCCAAAATGAGAGTTAGCATTTCCAAACTCTTAGATCTTAATAAAAATGAGTCAGAACAGGCCCTGGCTCCTCTCCCATCAGTCTGCTCAACTTGTGGGGCCAGTAGGAGTGCAGCGTAGTGAAATCTAAGTTTCGTGTCAGTTAATTAAGGAGTAATTCTGAGTAAATCTCAGCAAAAAATTCATTATGTAGTCAGATATCATGTGAAATAACAGTGATGGTTAGATAATGCCTATCTAACAGTTATCTAAAAACTTTATCTAAACACTAACATTTGTTTGGCTGACAGCTGCAAAGATGTTAACCAAGTCAGTCTGTATGGTCATTCATTGCTCTAAATCAGTTTATTCATCTCTTACAAAATATCTTGCATACTCTATCACAACACTACCACCATGGTAAGAAACCCAAAAGCCCGTAGATGGGAATGGGGATGATGGGTTATACCTTCTTGGCTTTAACAAGTGTCTGGAAGAGGCTAGTGAAACCCCGGGCAGATAGGAGAATGAGCTCCTTACGGCAGAAGTCACAAGAAGTGTTCTCCAGATGCCAACGATGCCGGGGATTCATCTTTTCTACTATCACCTGAAAGAAACATACCAAAACTATAGCAAGGAAACCTGCACAATGTAAAAACCTAAACAGATTGTCTAGTGGGGCAGTGCAATGCTAGCAACAAAAGTGGTTAGTTGTATTAATCCGATATCAAGCAGATGGTAGGGTACCATACGGAGATCAACCGGTTCAGAGTGGTATGAGCTTTCATAGGCAACAACCTACTTCATCTGATGCTAGGAATGCATGACATGTGGCAACACAGAGCCAATCCCAACATAGCTGAAGCTGTAGAAGCAGCCTGTCAATATAGAAGGCGAAGACTGCCTTTGACAGGGGGCCATCCCAGGGCCAGTCACAATATGGGCCCGCCAACCTGTCTAGGGTAGGTGGCCCAAATTCTCCTGCCATACCTTGAAGAATTCATAACCAGATGGGAAAATGTGGGAAGCTGCCTATTTAATGCCCTGATGCCAAGGGCACAATACATGGCTCTGACTTCTCATTTACCACGTCCCATGCCTCGCAGATGGCATTCAAATCACTCCCAACTTTCCTGGCCCCATTGTTGGGCCACACATGGCCTCTGGCCCAAATTTAGTCTCAGGCATCCAGAGACTTACCTTGGCTGTATGCCCCCTCACTGGGGCCTCAACTCCCACACGCACTCTGGGCTCCTGCCTCTCATTAGGTTCCTAGCCTCATACTCTCTACCCCTCACTGGGGTCACCATTCTACCCCCTCACTGGGGCTTCTGGGCTTTATGTCCCTTGGGCCTCAGATGTCTGTTGACATGCCTGGACCCCACTCTTGGCCTATAGACCAACTCATGCCTCAGGTGTCCATCAACATACCTCACTCTTAGTCTGGCCTTCACTAGGCCTCACTCATTCAGGCTTTGAGCCTTGGGCCCTCCTGGCCTCCCTGTGGTTGCCCAAGCCTGTTGTTTTTCTCTCAGGGTGCGCTTCCCTAGCCTTCCCCTCCATGGCATCACCCGCAAGTCTGCGGGGGCAGAGGCTTTCTAGTGCCCCATACTCAACTTTTACTGGGGGGCACTGGTGTGACACCTCCTGAGGACTGCCCCACCACAGACAGCCCCACCACACCATCCTCCCCAGCAGGGTGCAGTTTCAAGTCATTCCCCAGGACCAACTGCAGGCCCACCTGCCCTGGTCTTTGTCCCTACCAAGCTGCTCGCTCCTGGGCACCCTACTGCAGCCTCCATCCTGTAAACTGCACTCATCCACTGGGCCCTCTCTCTCTGACCCCCTTATAGGATTCCTCCCCTCAGGAGGCTGGGCTTCAGCCTCTGTCATTTCAACACGATCAGCTGAGCCTATCCTTCCTTTGGCAGTGATGTCCCCACCACTGAAGGGACCTTCAGCCTGTTTCCGGCTCTGGCCCCACCTCCAGGCCAGTCGGGATGCCAGATAGCTCTCTGCAGCCCTGGCGTGACCCTCGCAGTGGCCTTCATCACCTTTTGGCCTTTCCGCCCTGGCCTCTTACCATTGACCTGCTGGGATTCCTTGGCATCGGTGCAGGAGCAGCTGACCTTACTCAGCAAGGGTCTTCGCTGGGCCCAACCATAAACAGTCATCTCTTATTGGGCTTGCCTAGAGCCCCAGAAACCTTACATGAGGCAGCAAGTCACTCAGCTGGGCTCATCTCCCTGGCCTCAGTCACTGCTAGTCATGAGGGTTTGCCTAGCCCCTCAGCAGACCCACAACTGAAAGCCCCCTCTCCTAGGCTGGCTTCACTGTTCCTAGACCCATAGCCATTTCCTTGAGGCTTAGCACCCTTGATCTCCAAATATTCCTGGGAGCAGAAGAGCTCTGGCTCGTTGATATTACTCTAGCAATGTCCTTCCAACAACTGCTGGCTCTGCTCCTCAGGGGCTGCTCTTATACTGAAGCTGCGCAGCCCTGCTCCAATCAGGCAGCCTCTTGGCTGTCGTGTGACCACATGATTGGCCCTTGCAGTCACCTGCAGGCTGCCTCTCAGCCTACTCAGGCCTTTAAAGTGGCAAGCACCCAATGGTACACCACTACAGCCTCCTTTTCCTTCTCTGAAGAGTAGCCAACACCCAGTTGATAAATCAGATGGGCTCTGACAGGTGTCATATTCCAGCTTCCTTGACTAGAGTGATGATGACTATAATAGAGTCTTCCTCTTCCAGAGTATGAGTTGGTAGGTATGGAACATAAGTGACTTAGTGCTAATAAGGCTGACCACTGAAAAGCAAAGTCTGTAAAACAGGAAACAGGTCCTTTATTATGTGGGCAACAGCAGCGGTCCATCTCCTTGGCAAAGTGAATCCACACCAATCCTGAGGGCCCACCTCTAGATGAGAAAAGGGATTTGAGTGCATTTGCCTATCTTGTGACCCCTGACTTAAAACTAACAAAGGTGCTAACTGTGACTGATTTCTATAAGATTTCTAAGCAACCCACTGGTATTTGAATTGAGACTGCTCATGGAACCCAGCAGCTCCTGCTTTCATTCAAAATAGAAAAGGAGCATGCTAAATTCAAGATAATGACCTAAATTCGAAAGGCTGTGTAGTCTGCTACAAGCCAGAAACAGAACAGGTCTAAGGTTTTGTCTACAGTAGGCCATCTCAGTGGCTGGAACTGCTGCTGGCAGACAGCAATCATCATACGGAAGCCAGAAGATCACTATCACACCTGAAGACTTCTGGCAGTTTCTCTTCAACAGCTATGGCAGCAGAGGCAAAGTGCATCTTGAGAAGGAATTGGCTGCTGGAAGGACTGAAGCAGCCAACAGAAGGCTTTTTTTAGTCAAAAACTGTTACTCCAGTGTCAAAA